TTTTAACAAAATTTTATTTACGAGTCAACTAAGAATTTTCAAAATTTAGTAAATATATTAACTTGTAAAGATTTTTTTCATCAAGAGGAGTAAATTTTGTTTTATCAAATTTTTCAGATGCAATAAATTCGAAATAAAAGGAGGGATTTTTTTTTTCTTTTTTTTTTTTTTTTTTTTTTTNTTTTTTTCTTTTTTTTTTTTTTTTACTTATACGCAGTTGAGTTCTCAAGAATTTTTTTTTCCTCTGTTGGAGGTGAATAATGACTTTTAACTTGAATTTCTCCCCCAATAGCCCATAAACTGACTCTTAAAAGACAAAGGCTACTATTTTTTAAAGACAAATACAGCACTTTCTAGCTCTTGTAAAAATTCTAGCATTAACTATTATTAGTATTATCTATTATTACTTTCTAATAACAACTATTAAGTCATACAGTTATAAAAATTGCAAATTTTTGATGAAGCTGAAAGAAGAATGATTATGTTCCCATCTATCGCACCATTGTTTATAAAGACAATTCGCCTTTGCATATTTCGCCCCTGATAAATATGCAGTTGTTTAGTTTCACCTCACATAAGTTGATATTAGTGGGTTCATTTTTTGAAAAGAAAAATATATTAATTTTAAATATATTTTTTCTAATCATTAGTTCGTGCTTAAGTGATTCAATTTGTTAGTCGTGTGGTATTTTAAATAATTATTATGCAAAGTTCATACAGTCCTTGAAAAAATAAAGAATTAGGAAGTAAATTAAAAATTAAAACCGTGTATTAATATTAGCTACTGTTCCAGGGACAAAATGGCATAGTACAACAAGCAAAAATATAAGTTAGCATGCATTTTTCGTCACTAATATATTGTGTAAAAACAAGTTTTAAGTTCTGCAATTTTATTTGTTCCGAAAGTTTATTGAAAGCAAAGCAATTTCACTACAATTTTTTGATTCATTGTATAACACTCATTTCATGTATGAATATTTAGAGAAAAAATAGAAAATAGTTAAGAACCGGTTATAAAGTAAATTAGGAAAATAAAAAACCTAAAATAACACCCCAGCTAGGCTTACTCTCCCTTTATATTTAAAATATCGCTATATTGTTTGTAAATGGAATACGTAAGGTTACACGATTTCCCTACTCTCTACACTTCTCCCCTCCATCTCCATAGTATCGGCGAGCCTTACTTCTTTCTTACAACAGCATGCTTTAGTAAGAATTTTGAATAGAAATAGCGGAAAAAGTATAACTTCAAGATGGAAACAAAGAGGGGACACGTGTGATGAGTGGGAAATCGCATATCCTTGAAAGGCCTATTCTATTTAGTAAGACTATAGTTGCCTTCCAAATAGATAGAAGAAAATCTTTCCAAAAAATTGACCTCCGTCCTTCATTTTTATATACCTGAAATAATTTTTAAAATGTAGCTGCTGGCTGGTAAGAATCCTGTTGCCTTCTGCAGAATTACTCTGAAAAGTTTTTAATTAATGTGAAAAATCCAATTAACAGTAAGAATTGCTGGTGGAGCGCTGCTTCCTTACACAGTATTACTCTTAATACGTTACTTTTGTGGTATACTTTTAGTACCAAGTACTTTTTTGCATAATCTGCACTGAGTTCGTTAAAACGCCTGATAGTTATTCGTTCAATTTATTGTTGTTGTTGTTCATTTACGTCGCACTAGAGCTGCACAATGGGCTATTGGCGACGGTCTGGGAAACATCCCTGAGGATGATCCGAAGACATGCCATCACAATTCAGATCCTCTGCAGAGGGGATGGCTCCCCCGTTTCGGTAGCCCGACAATAGTTCATTCAAATAATAGTACAGTAAGGAACCGATTATCTGGAACGATCGGGACCATCGCTATTCCGGATAACTGATTTTTCAGGTTTTCTGAATCGCTACAAAAAGCCGTTTTTTTTATTGTTAAACCCAACTAAAAAAAAAAAAATATTAGGAAATAATCTTAAAAAGAAGAAAAAACGATGAAGTAATACAGTAATGATTATTTCTAAAATGTTGGTATGGTAAACATGTTTCAAAAAAGAAAGAAAAATCCTAAAATCTCATGAGGGAAAAAAAAAATATTTTTTTAAATGGCGGGAAAATTTATCGAATTTCGTTCCGGTTTTTGGTTTTCCGGTTTTCTGATTTCCGGATAACGGGTTCTGTACTGTAGTTATAATCTGAATATAATGTAATTATTCGTTATTTTACTATACATTAAAAAAAGGTGTTCCGATAGCTTGGCGGTGCAGTTAATTCAGAAATTGCATGAATGAGGAAATAGTTGCATTTAAAGGATATTCGATTAATACCCGTCATTTTTGTATATATCTCTATCATTCCTTTTTTGGCAGTAAGTGATTGATTGCTTTTCAAATTCGTTTAATTCTTAAATTCATACTTTATCTTTTAATTCTTTTCTAAAAATAATCATAAACTACTTTTTCCATGTAGACGCAGATCAGCGTAAAATAAGTTCTATAACTGAATTCAGTCCCCTTCGTGATGATTCATTAAAAAAACAACATGCTTCTGTTCGAAGTCAAGGTTTGTCATATTATTCGGAAAGTTTTATCAATTGCTAAATTTGAAATAACTTAAACCAGCTTCTTTCGTTTGGTTCAATTTTTGACAAATAACCAAATAATGAATCTCTTCCTTGCAATGAGTGGTGACTCAAACTTTTAATTGACTTTTGATTCGATTTCTTGAGTAAGAAGACGGCGAAGGGGTTTGGCCTTTTCTTTCGGTTCTCCGTTAAGATCAGAAATTTTTTAAAATTTAAAATATTCTTATTTATTTGCATCATTTTTTTATTATTATTATTATTATTGTAATGCTGAGGGCCACACATAAGACCTAGTAGAATATTATTTTAGATTTCTTCATTAGAAATTTAATTTTTCTTCATTCATTAAAAAAAGAGGAAAAAAAGTTTAATTGAATTTTGTGTGGAATAACTTAGATGAGGCAAATTACGCTTAAGTTTTCTGATTGACGCTGATGAAGGCTGTAAAATCATTACTAGTTCATAAATTTGAAAAGTAAAATGAGGTTTATAAATGCGAAGCACTCAAAAAATGCTTGCAACTAGCCACCACGTGCACTTCTACACAAGCTAATCACTGATTGCTACTGAATAAAAATGCTAAGAGGGAAGCTCACAATAGGCCTTCGATGCAAAATATAACGGAATGCAATTAAAAAGGTCAAATTCATTTTAGTGTCTAAGCTGAATGATTCGTGTTTTTTTTATTGTTATTATTATTATTTTCAGACTCTTAGCTCAAAGGAATCATTTTCAACCCTCGTGAAAGATTCATACAAAAAAATAGCTCGATCTTTCACGTTTATTTATTTATTTATTGTTATAACTAGGCTTTTTTTGGGATAAAAATACCTCCAAATTACATAATAAAGCGTGATACTTTGTTTCGTTACAGCAGAAATTAGTTGAAAAAATTTAGTCGATTCACTTCCAAACAATTCCAGGTTAATCGAAAACTTTATTATTATTATTTTTTACATAATAATGAAAACTAATTTATAATAATAATGGACGAGACACCAAAACTTTTATGCAAATTTAATTCTGTATAAGATAAGTTTTTCGTTTCTAATAAAATTTCTGAAAAGAGATCCGGCAAAATCAAAAAAGTAAAGTCACTTTATAATATTTTTGAAAAAAAAAAAAACACTTGATATTCAATGATTGGGTGAGTACATATAGAAATGCAGTATTTCTGTATGTTGTCAAAACTTTTCTTGTAAAATTAAATGCTGTAACAATGTCAGTTTCTGTATACTTTTTGAATATTTTAATGTTTGAAGTAATATGATTCAGAAAAGTGGGGAATTTAAAGTTTAAATAGGCCTTTCATATTAGATCATTAAATTTAGTTAAACAATTTCACAGGCATTAGGTTTTAACTCTGAAAAGAAGATACATATTTTTTTCCCGTTTATTTACAAATATTTTTCCGATGTGTTTGGGATGTTCCTTCTCTAAAAAAAGATAATCCGTTTTGTTTTCGCTTGCATAAGGAAAACTATCAAACATTTTTCTTTTTTAAATTTAATAAGCCTCAATAAAGAAGAAACGTTGCAATGCTACACAGAAGATATCTCCAGTACAACTGATGATCGTGTTGTACTGCTAGCAGTCATTCGTCTCGAATAAAAATTCCCCCTATTGATCATTACGTTCGCGAATAACTCCCAAGATTAAAAGTTTTAATTTATTTGAAAATCAGGACAGAAACTAACATACCTTCTTCTCATATGACTCTCCTCACGCTACTGGTGAATGGCACGCGAAGTGTTGCCATAGGTGGAGAGTTCTGCTCTACACCACCTGTTGATCATTACGATCGCCAATTAAAAATTCACAAAATGGAAAAAAAATTGCTTTTGGCAAAATGATAGGTCCCGCAGTGGACTGATCGTTAAGACACGGTTCTCATCAGATCACCGAAGTCAAGCATCACTGGCTGCGGTCAGTGTGCGGGTGGGTGACCCACTTGGATCAGCCTGCGTAGGGACCGAGGGTGTGCGGTATTGGTCCTCGTTAAACTGTGCTACCGTAAAGTGCTCGACTTCGCGTGCAGGTCGTTGGGCTACCGAAGCGGGGGTGCCATCCCCTCTGCAGAGGATCAAAATTGTGATGGCATGTCTTCGGATCATCCTCAGGGATGTTTCCCAGACCGTCGCCAATAGCCCATTGTGCAGCTCTAGTGCGACGTAAATCAACAACAACAACAACAACAACAAAATGATAGCTACTGCGCGTGCACAGAACTTGACGAAAGCAAGAAGCATAGATTGAGGCATTCGAAAAACATTACAAAATAGAATTCGCAGATCGTATTTGGCGATTTTCTCTGGAATTTTGCGCTCGCATCTCTGAATTCAAGTGCGCGCAATTTTTAGATGCAGTGTGAATGGCACTTAGCTGGAACAAACTTGAAATTTTTTCTTATATTTATATAATTTAATGACACCTCATCCGGACAGAAATAAGCAGGCCTAACTGTTAAATAAAAAACATATTACGCAATTTGGTCAGAAAATTGTAAATAAATAATAGATTTGGATTACATCATCTCTTTCAAATTAATAAAACCTTAGTGAAGGTCTACAAACACATTTATGGATTTCAACTGGTTTTTTAGAAATGGCCGTTATCGGTCAGATCAACCTAATTTGTAAGTTTTGCTACTGTTCTGAATTCATATTTTAATTGCTTGTGAATTGTTTGCCGTTATTTGGATAATGAAAGCTTAGTATGTTTCATAAGTTGAAATCAAATAATGTGAATTGCAATTTGACTCTCAATATAGTAAAAATGTACATTACTTGAACAATAGTTTTGATGCATAAAACAATGGCAGCTGTTATGTTTTCACTCTTCTATTCACTATACAATTATATTAACATTACTTAGTTCTTTTTTACATTGCAATTTTAAAAGGGCTCCAATTACCATCCTCAATGTGTAACTTAATATAAGTATACTGTAAAGTATACTATCTGATGATATTTCTTTTTAAGCATTCTACAAGTTAAATGCATGTTCTTATTAAAAAAATTTATTTATACTTTTTTACATCTATAAAAACTCATGTAAATAATCTCTTTGTGATACATTAAAATTGCATACATTTGAAAACATGTAGTTTTGCCAAATAGTTTTTGGGAGTCTGTAATTTCTATATCTTTATTAATAATTGCTAAAATTTTGTAAAGAAATTTATTTCAATTATTTTCTTATTCATACAGTTATTCCATGGTAACATTGATTCAATTCCGCAACATGAAGCTTTTGAGCTTTGCTCCAAATTCTTTCCCCATTTGAAAAGTAAACAATCATTTGGCTTTTTGAACAATCCAATTTATAGTTTTCACTCGAAATCATTATTCTTTACTTAATAATAATTCTTTTATCAGCATTTTATATACTATAGAAAAACAAATTACAATATATCGAAAGTTAAAATCTTAAAGAATAATAAAATACAATTCATGATTTTTGGAAACTTAGCAAACATTCTTACTAAATTGGATTTCAGTGTTCTACTTAAAATACTCCAAACAAATTCATAATTTTTATTTTGATGAAAAAAATTAAGAACTATTCTCATTGCTTGTGATTTTTCTTTATTTTATTTATGTATTATTATTTTTATTTGTTTTCTATAAGGAGTAATTATTTCATATGTAATTAATAATTTCTATTCTAATGAAAAATGCAACAATTTTGATTAATAACTACATAATATTTTTATGGACCTCTAACAATCAATCTTTATGGACCTCTAACAATCAATAAACAATCTTTGAGTACAATATTTAGCATAAAATCAGTAGATTGGTTTAATATTACCATTATAAATTAGTAATATTATACCCATCACTTTTGACAGGCTGTGGTGACCTTTGCTTTTTGTTTGCTGAAAAACCTTTGCTTGCCAGAAAATTTTTACTTTTAACTCATAATATTTACCAATTCAGTAGATAGTTTTGCTAGGGCTGTAATGAATATTTTACCACTATTAGGTATTCAGTCATTTTGCGGAATATCCAGTTAGCCGAAATCTACGCTAAATATTTGCAAAGCATTCTTTTGGGAAAGTAATTTTAGTCAATGTTTTCTTTTGAATTTGAATATACAGTCAAACCCGGCTATAGTGAACTCCTGGATATAGTGAAGGAAATGTTCGGTCCCGTGCCTTGCTATACAAGTAATGTTATTTTTTGTGAATATGGTGAACCAAAAAAGTGAGGAAGTTGGATATAATAAGCTTTTTTCCGTCTACGACTGATTTTTTTTTTCTCATTTTTTTGTAATAATTTTGAAATTTCTACTTCAAAATAAATGCATACACTGATTTTTAAAACCATCTATTGAGGGGAATGTAGCGATAAGCATTTTTTCTTGTTTGCTTCTTTTATCTCACTTTCCCATCCCTAAACAAATCAAGCAGATGTTTCCTACCCAGGCAGATGATGGTGCACCTGTAAGGTGTCAGTGGGATCAATATGCATTTTCTGTCAGAGCGAATGAGGCATTATTGGTCAACACTAATATGTGATGGTAAGACCCTCATTTCAACAACTTTTTGCTCTCAGTTCAGTTTAAAAAAACCTGCAAACAAGTTTCTCAAATTTAACTATGGCGAGCAATAAACGTAAAACTTTCTTCATTGATGATAAAATGGGCGTAGTGAAAAATTGAAAATGGATGCAATCAAGCTGATATTTGCAGAGAATATAAACTATCCAAATCTGCAGTTTGTAGCATATGAAAAAATAGGCAGTTAATAATTTCTGCTCATGAAAAAAAATTTTGATGCCAAAAAAAAGTTGAGAAAAACAGATCATAAGGATGTTGAAGAAGCATTACTGAAGTGGTTCAACATTAGAAGAAGCCGCAATCTCCAGTATCTAAACAAATGTCGATGAATTTGCTATGTGATTTTATGAGACTACTTTTATGTGCTAAAATAGCGAGTTAGACAGGTTTAAAAAGCGGAATAGCAGAAATTCAGGGAAAATTATCTGAGAGTCGAGAAGTGTTTCCATATCTGATGTTGAGGATTGCTCATCAGTTAGAGATTACTAATTTTTTTTGGACGCAAGAAGAAGAGTAATAAAAAAGTAACACATTTTTTGCTACTACATAATATTTTTCAGTCATTTATTTGAATAATGTGTAAAAAAAAATGTGAGGAGTTTGGGAACCATTGGTTAAATTGCCTGCATAACAGATCTAGTGAACTCCTGGTTATAGTGAACCGAAACGAAAACCCTTGAAAGTATTGAAACCCTTGACTGTATTTAATAAAGAATCTGAAATTGTATTTTTTAGAATACATTGTTAGAAATAGTTTTTACACATATCTATTAAGTTCTAAAACTTGCACATGGCTTGTAAATTTATGTTGTGGAAAACTAATAGAAAAGCAAAATTTAAAGAATTGAAGCTAAATTATTTTATACTGAACCAAGAGTTTCTTCTGAATTTTTTATTCTAAGAATCAACAGCAATTTTGTTTTAGTTTTTATTTTCTTGTTTTTATAGCACAGCATTTAAAGGGAATGTTTCTGATAGACTTTACTCTTTTATTGCCACTTTTTCCTGTACAGTAAGATAGATATCTGGTAACATAGAAAACTGTGATTTTAATGTTAAAGTTATATTTTAAGCACGGTTTTTTTTCCTCTTGCTTTTTGTATTAACATTTTTATCAGTGTTTTTATTATGAGTCAGCATTTTTTAAAGAGAGTTTGTAATGAATGTTATTCTTTTATTGTCACTTTCATCTAAAATTACAGCAAGGTGAAAAAGTCAAATTAAGATTTTTAGCATTAAATTTTTGTTTAAAAATTAAGAATGAATTTTGTTTTGGTTTCAATTTAGCTTTTTCTTTGTTAAAAAAAACTTATAGTTTTATCTACATTTTTATTATGATGCGGCAATTAAGAGGATTTATATGTGCCTTAACTTTTTTTTTAAAAATACAGTAATTGGGTAAATTGAGAAGTTCAGCTTTAAAGTTTTCTTTTGAGAATTAACAAAGATTTTTATTTTTTCTGTTTTGCTTTTGTTTATAATCTTTTGTTTTTGTGGTCATTTTTTAAAGCATTTATGATAGATTTTATTTCTTTTCATGTTGTATCAATAGTTTTTTTCCAGAAAATATTATATTCAGCATTAATGTTTTGTTTTATGAATTAAAAGGATTTTTTTTAATTTTCCTTTTCTTTTTCAACTTCATGATTTCAGTTTTATTTATAGCTATAAGTCAGTTTGTTTATTTATTTTAAATATTTCTAATGAATAACTATTAGCGTTCATTTCCCTTCATCCCATGCAAATAATATAGTTTTAATTAATTTTCAGTAATGACTAAACTTATTTATAGGTAAAAAATATTTATTAATCAATTTTTTAAAAAGTTTCTATTCTGCCGCCAAATATGCGGTATATGAACGATTTATTTGTCCAAACCGCTATTCGTTACATCCATAATTTTTTTAACATTCGTTATATCCTATTCCCTTATTTTATCAAATTCTATTCTTTTTAGTAGGGATTTTTGTAGTAAATTAGTAATGAATTTTTTTTTTCAGAATTTTGTTTTTATCTCTTATAGACTAACTTTCAAAATAATTTTTAATTTTTGATTTATAAAATCGATTTATAATTTGTGTATAGTTTCTCTGAGGAAAATGACATAGGAGATAGTCCACATGAAGAGGGAATAAACTCCTCTGATGTCCCCTTTATGGAACCATTTGGAAATATGGATGACACAGCACGTGGGTTGTTTCAACATATGGAAGACATGCTAAATAATATGTTTTCTTCATCTTTTGTACCTTTCGGTAAGAGAAAAGTTTAAATTATTGTAACATATCATTATATCTCCTTTTTTTAGCATTATTTTAAATGAACAACTTTTTTTTCCAGCTATAAGATCTAGTTATAGTTTATTACATTTTAATCAAGGAGTTTAAAAGCTGGTCATCTTTATTGTTAGTGCTGTAAAATGAATGGTTTTTAAACTCACTAATGATAAGGCTGGTTTTAGTTTACAAATTCGATTCAAACATTTTTTTTTACAAGTATACTTGGGTTTTTTTTTGTTTGTTTTTTTTTTGTTCATATTATTTAAATAAATTTACAACTTGAGTCCTGAGATATATATGTATTTTTATATTTCAGATTTTGCCCTTAAAATAAAATGGCATTTAATTTATCTCAGGCATAAAATTATAAATATTTTGTTTTTATAACAAAATATTTAACATTCTTTAATCATAACCAGATCATGCAACAAACACCTGCAGAAAATTGTGTGGTCTTTTGTAGTCATTTAATACTTTGTGTTTCAGCTTTTTTTTTTATTATTTACTACCTTTTTTATATTTTGTTCTTTTCTGTATATATTTCATAGGATCTATAAAGCTTGAAGAAAGCACTCCAAATGATCCTCGTTCTATGATGCTTAAAGATCCTGATTGTAAAAGATCTGAGGAAAATCATGTATGTTGAAAAATATTAAATTTTTTTTATCATTTTCCTTTATTAAAATAAGTTTTTTTTTACCTACATTTGTTCTTTATTTCTGTGGAAATATTAATTAAGTTAAAATGCTTAGAAAAATTACCTTAGAATGCATGCTCGAACTTGTTTCATTTTCCCTTATTAAAAAGTACTGAAACATGTGTACTCCCTTGTTTCCTTTTTTTTCTTCCATTTTTTCAGTATATCTTTTATATGTTTCAAATTCATTACAGGAAATTTAGTAACCCAAATAGATATTATTTTTTAATTTGTTTCATTTAAAGTGATGGTCTTGCAATACAGAAAAGTGATTATTACTCTATCAAGGTTTCTACTATGGTAGCAGTTTTACAAGAATACTTTAAAACTATCTAAAAATGTGGGACATTCTTTCTAAAGCATTTTATTAGATTCTTTAATGAAAAAAATTTCAACAGGAATTGCCATCACATCTTTTGTAAAATTCTTATGATAATAGATTCTACTTATCTAAGCGTTAGGATGATAATTCTTCCACACTTTGCGTTGAAAACTTAAAAATTCTTAGAATGACTGCTGCTTAAAAAAAATTTTTATCTTCGTCATGTCATGATTTTAGGATTAAAATTTATATTTGAAATAAAAGTAATAGCACCGTAGAGAATTAGGTTTTTAATCTTGGAAGATCAAAATTTTATATAGTAGTAAATTAAAAAATGTCCAATGAACTTGGGCTGCTTTATATCAAAATTATGATATCTTTATATCATTATACAGGTATCTTTGGTAAGTTTTGATATTGGCATTGCAACTGCATTCAATTGCACATTTTAGATGCTAATAGAATTAATTTTTTAATGTTTCTGATTAGTATTTCTCTTAATCATAAAGTTTCTTACCACCTTTTTATTTTAAATTTTTCTTTTTTTGACTTATTTTGCAAAAAAGACTTCATCAATGAAAGTCATGAGAAGTTTTCAAATTGTGCTTTCATAAAACTAAATTTAAATATGTACAATCATAACATTTGTCAATTTTACAAATTTATATTATGTTTGTAATTGTTAAAAATATTGTTTTACAACTGAATGTTTTTTTCTGAAAAATTTTTCAATGTTCTAAGTATATAATATTTTTAAGGTATTAGTGCATTAAGAATGTGTGTTTCTCACTTTAATATTTCTTATATTTATCTCTATGCTTATTTTTAAGGATGTCAAGTTTTCTGATGTGATAATTCCTGATCATTTTACTGACAGTGGTAAGTTTTAAAATATCGTCTGTATCAAAGAATAAAAATTCTGCCTCATTAAAAGAATTTTAAAAAATACGGTTGGTTGTAAGAAATTTTTATTTGCAAACAAATGTTTTTTATAAATTTGTTATGGTAATTTTTTATGTTATATGTTTTTTTATGTATTGGATTGTAATAGTATTGAATCAAAAAAGAAATTGAAATTTTAAGATCTGTATGGAAATCCCAAGCATATGCAATCAACAAAACCACATGGACAAAATCAACACAAATTGAGTGCTTAAAAAATGGTTTTTCAAATGTTTGATTCAAAATTTCCCATACAAAACAAAGTAACATTAAAAAATTTATGAAGATTGACTACAGATGAAGATTGACTACATTAAAAAATTTATGAAGATTGACTTTGCTTATTACTATGCATTACGTTAACTATTACCAGGTACATTTAAGTAAAATTTCACAAATTAAAAAAATTTAATTGTAAATAAAATTAATTTCAAAACACTTACAATTTCATAACAAATCAATTATTTCCTGCATTGTTGAATCTCAACTCACGTAAAAATCATATAACTATGTCAGTATAACATAAAAATCATATATTTTTAAATCTATTATTTTTTCTTCTGAAATTATGTCTTCTCACGTTTGCCTCATACTTTGAGGGTAAAGCCAGGGCAACCCTAAGATTCTAAACCCTTTTTATTGTAGATTTGGTTCTTCCAGCAAAAAAAGCAATAGAATTCGACATACAGCATTTTGGTTTGCAGATGGAATAAAAAAAGTATTTTTAAAAAGAGTTATCTCAAGAAATACGTGTTAGAATTAAAAAAATATAGTTTAGCTTGTTTAATAATTTGAAAAACCTATCTAATTACACCTTATTTGACCCCCTTCTCTACTATCTGAGATTAAGACAGTTTCTGGAAAGTAGAGCCTTTTTGGGGGAAGGGTTTCAAACAAGCCTACCTTCCAACATTTGATGTTTTTGCTAAATGTCTTGTCCCAGTACTAATAAACTAAAGTCACCTATCAAATTATTAAATTTTTTATAAAACTAACTGACAGTGCAATTTTAATAAACCTTTTAACTTAACATTTTAACTAACTGAATATAAAAGCATGACCATTTATCTTTCTGAGCTTTTATAGATCTATGTAAAATATTTATGTGTAGTGGTGAACAAATATCTTTTAAATTTTATTTATAAAATTATTAATTTATTACCTTTACTCCCACTAAGTAAATTATTTTCTGAAACTACAGAAATTCTGTTGTAGTTGGAGGAGCAGAGGTGTGGCTTTTATCTGACATTTTTCAAAATGTGTATATTTTAAAGAACTTTTAAGCCATATTCATTTTGCAACTTCAGCACCACCTCTTAACAAAAATACAACAATATGTATGTCAAATTAGGACACTTTTTTCCTGGAAAATCGAAATCTGGAAAAAAAGATAAAGGTTTAAAAGCTGCTCCTACCTCATCCCGAGGGGATGATGTTGGGGTCAAGCTTGGAATTGTTATTATATGCATCTTTTAGAAATTGTAGCTTTAGATTTTTGATTTGATGAATATTTCTTAAAATAGTTGATCACTTGCATAGTGTTTTATTCATCCTGTGTAGTAATACATTGTGAACCAGAATTTATTGATATCAAAAAACAATTCTGAATTCGGTTTTCATTTGCTTATAAGAAAGAAATTTCACAACTTTTTTTTAATACTGAAAAAAATGCATTTTTTTTTTCTTCAAATTTCTGATTTCTTAATGTATTCTTGGATCTCTTAAAGGCAATTTGGTCATAGAAAATTAAGTCTACCTATGAGATTGGGATGAACTTACTATTGAATGTGTTGAATTTTTTTAGTCTGTAGTATTGAGATTTGACTGTGTAATATCTACAACAAAACCACAAATAGATTGTATAAGCATAAACACAGACGTGCCAACCTAGCAAAATTAACATTCAGGAGTTTCCCTAACAAGAATTCAGGAGATTTCAGGAGGGGTAAAAAAAGGTGCATGGTATGCAACATTTGGCATTTCTAAGGAATTTTAAGTAAAAAATTTATTAAATATAAGAATGCAAGAAATTTTACACACTAATAGAGCAATAATTGTTTAAAAATATTAAATGGAAATAAAATAATTAAACACAGATTTAGCAACACAAAACTATATTAGGTAGATACTCTTTAAATAAATACCATTTCCTTAATAAAACATTATTCAAAAACCCTTGACACTGTAATAAAAATACACAAAAACTTTTAAAAAATAAACAAATTGAATAAGTATTTTATTTTAAAAAACTAATTCAATACTAATGTCTGTACAATAAAGAACCAATTATCCGGGATGCTCGGAACCATCGCTATCCCGGATGTCTTAATTTCCCGGTTTCCTGGATCGACAAAAAAGTGTGGTTAATCGATGTTTTATCAAACCCAAATTACAAGGAAAAAATGTAAACACATTTTAAAGTAAGAGAAAAAAGAAAAGCACTCCTAAATCTAAAAAGGAAAAAAATTGTAGAAAAATAAAATTTAAAAGAATAAAGAAATTTGCAAGTTTAGACAAGAAAAACAAGTTTAAAAAATAATTACGATTCCTAAATCAACTAATAAACAGAACCAATGATTAAATAACGCAATATATTTCATGGGGGGGGAGGGCGAAAATAAAAGGAAAACCTATTAATCTAAATAAAAACAACACTTGAAAATTATCGAACCGAAACGNTCAACATCATTTTTAACTACTCAATTTCTCGACCCTTTTTTTTTTTCTTACAGTGTTTTTATATTTAGCCCTCTTTGTTACCCTGTTTCTCAATCCTTGTTTTCTTTTTTTTTTTCTTGAATTCCATAAACTCATTTAATACATAAAGTTCCATACTGATTCACCAATGTTCCACTTTTCCCTCTTCAAAAACCCTTTTTCCCTCTTGGTCTTCCTTTTTCATGCATTTTAATATTTTATTTAAGCTTATTGTTTTTAATTCTAGACATTGATGAACATGTTGCAAGACATGGATTGATTTTAGATGATAATAAATCAGAGCGTCAAACCCCTAAGCTTTTTTCATATAAAAAGTTTTCTTCTATAAGAACTGTTCATTTACCTGATGGCGTAAGTTTTTTAATTGTTTACTTAAATTTTCTCTTTCTTATTCCTTTTATAAATATTGGGGAAAAAAACTCACTCCAATAATTATTATTAGTCTTTTTACAAAAGTTTTTACAATGTTTCAAACTGTTACAGACTGTTGAAGAGCACAGAAAATGTACTGATAGTCAAGGAAATGTTACTACAACAATCCGTAGGTCTATTGGAGATCAGAGCTATGAAGTTACTACTCATGCAGATAATCAGGGTATAAAAGAAAAAGAAGAAAACTTGACAAATTTGGATGAAAGTAAGTTAAAGTTTAACTGCTTAAAATTAAAAGATGTTTTTACACTACTTAATGAAAAGTTGAGTTTTCAAAGAAAAGCTACTTAACTGCTTAAAACATAAATTAGTATTGGTGTTACTTGTATCTGTTTAAAAGTAACATAGTGAAAGCTCAGCTATCCTGAATGAGCTGGAAACTGCAAATTCTATATTCTTGAGCAGTGGTTCTTGGTTTCATATATTGCTTTATCATCAGTAAAAAGTGCTATATTTTAATTGAAACAAAAGTTTGCCAAAATTCAATCATTTTAAAAATATAAATGTTCTCCATAAAAATTATAAAAGCTAAATAAAAAAATAAAGTTTGCTTAGTGAGAAAAAAAATTTAAGAGAGGAACTGAAAAAGAAATTGTTTTTATTTTTTTAACTTTAATTATTTAATTGAAAATCTTGATCTATTAATAATAGTATATTTACTGAGAAAATGGTATGTTTCAATGAAAACACTTATAAAGAAAAATTATAAGTGTCAAAAATGTATAAAAATCTGAATAAAAGACCAAAAAGCTTATTAAAAGGCAAAGAGCTTATGTGAAAATGCGCAAGAATAAAAGAATTACTTTTAATTCTTAACTCTTACTTTATTACCAATGGTTCAGAGTGCTGAATCAATATTTTGTAGTCAGAAAATTTTTATATTTTTAAGCTTTTATTTTTTGCCAATATAATTCCAGATAATTAACTTTTTACCTGTACAACCTTTAATAAAATTAGGGATTTTAAAGCCTGTTTCCTTTCTAATTCTTAACTTAATATGCATGTTAGAATAATATGACTTTAACTTGAAATAAAAATAAACTTATTTAAAAATGACCTAAGAACTTTTTTAAGTTAGTACAAATGTTCTATAAATACAAATATAGTTCAATTTTTCAAAGATTAAATGCAAAATATGTTTTCAATTTTCCAAATAAATGTTTCTAAAATTACTGTAGTGAGCGAAAAAAAAATTCCATAAATTTATCATACTACAGGGTGGTTAGCCAAATTTTTCAAAAATATATATTTGTTTTCAAAAATGTATATTTGTTTTTCAACAATATATATTTGTTTTTCAACAATTTTTAAGAACTTTTCAAGCAGTCAAACAAATATTTTAAACACTTAATATTTTTTTTAAATCATAAAATATTCACATAGAAAAGAAAACATTTTCTTCCTATTGTTAAAAGTTCATCATATATATCTCCATAAAATTATTAAAATTCAAAAACATTTTTAAAGACTTTACAAAATCATGATAAAAGTTTTTGACAAAGAGCTCTTGATTTTTAATAGCCACCATAAAAATATTTTATGCTCAATTTTAAATATAACATTAAAGTACCACCTGGAATTTGTATATTCATGAAATTTCGCTGGTTTTGATTTAATTAACGTTTTATGCATTATTGCACTTCAGATTATGGATAGCTAGTCTAAAAGTTGGCAACTCTTGTTTAGTTTCGATGATATTGAAATTTATTTCTTTACATATTATGTATCCTAATGTAAGTCCTTAGTTCTACAGAGAGGTAATTTGATTGTCAAGAAGGTAAAGATATCTTATTTTTATCCTAAAACATTAACATTTAAGCTTCATTTAGTTAATAATTCAATTTTTGCATATTTAAAATTATATGCACGGCATTAAACTTTAATAATAGCCTAGCCAGTATGACAAAAAGAGGAAAAATAAGGTTGGAACACTGACTGAGATAGACTAAGAAAAAAATCAGCTTTAATAATCTTTGACTGTCAACAAATAATCTTTAAAAAACTTATAAAGAAAGATTTAAAAATGTTACTATAAAAAATTTGCGTATTAATTTTTTCAAACATTTTCTTGTCGAGTAGTGTTATTTATTGAATTACCAGGGTACCATTTTTAAAAAGTGCTTATTTTTTATTTGCATTTGTTAAAAGCTTTTAAAGGTGCTTTTTCTATTCAGTGTTTGTAAAAAGTTATTAATTTTCTATCTTTTGGAAAGAGAATATTTCTTTGCAGTTTTAATTGTCATCATAAATTACAAAAAATGCATGATTTTCACAATTTTCTATGCAATATTTATTAGAAACTAGCTATTTTATCATGATTATGTGAACTTGGTGAAAATGTTTTTGAATTTTATTCATTTTATGTTCATAAAATAAGAACTTTAAATGATAGAACAAAATAATTTTTGTTACTGCTCAGATACTAATTATGAAATTTTTTTTTTGGAAAGAGATTAAAAATATTTTTTGAGTGTTTAAAAAGTACTTAAAAGGTGATTTTTTGTTGAAAAATCTGGATACGCACCCTGATTACAAAAAACCAGATAGTGCAGAAAAATACCGAATTTCAGTTATGGTGGGCAATTAGCAAAATGTTAATAACTGCAATTTTTTTTTAATTAGGCATCAATTTAATTAAACTCTTTAATTTATTAAGGTGAAATATCAGATTTTGAGCAGCGATGGTTAAATATGAAGAACAGAAAACTGCCAATTCAAGAACCAAGATCAGATTTAGTATTACCTAAATCTGCACCAGCTGGAGATCCTTCCTATTTATCCATTTTCAAGAAATTCTTTGGGCTCTAATCAAATAACTATTGCTTGTAATCTATGTAGATAGTTTATATATATATATGAATGTAAAATTAACATTTAATTTTACTTTTATAATTTTAAAACTGTTTTCAATAAAAATATTCCACTTTATCTCTCTGTCTCTCTCTCTCTCTTTTTTTGTTTGGAAAATTATTGAAACATGTTGGAAATTAAAAAATTTTGTTTTACAGTTTGCTGAAATATCTGTTAAAAAACATGGAACTCATAAAGCAATAGTTTTATTCTTGTACCATGTAATCTTCTTTCCAATAGCTATTTACATATATTTCAGGGCATTTTTTTAGAAATTTAATTAGTTATGTACATATTTAATATAATTTCTTTAAAATTTTATTTGCCTGTTTGTAAGTAACCTTGAAATTATATCGCATATCATATTTAACATAGAAAAAGAAGAACACAATAGACTCTTAAAGAAAAAAAATCACTTTATGATTCATTCAATAAGCTCGTTTTACAATCAATAACAAATATATTATTCACAAATGAATTGGTTTAAAAACATAGATGTCATTACATTAATTCATCACTTAATTTTTAAATCACTTGAATGCAGTACATAAAAAATAAATGTTCATTTGAGTAAAAATAAGTGTGTATTTCAGCAGCTAATATTAAAACAAGTTTTTCTCTTAAGATACTATGCATACATAAAAAATGATTTACTGTATTTTCCAGTGAAGACCCCACAATAAAAACAAACATTTATCATTTATATAATGCCATCTTAATATACAGTTAACCAACATCTATAAAATGCATAAAATATTTTTTAAAAAATATTTCAATTGGCATAATTTCTCAAAGATTTTTTTAAAAAAAAAAACTTAAATACGCTAATAAGTTCATGGAAACATTTCTGGCAATCTTGGGGCTGGAATAAGAACTTTGCATTGAGGAAGAATGAGTATTACTAGAAGTCAAATAATTTTAAAAATGAGAAAAAATATTTTAACATATTTTTCAGAAGGATGTTAAAGGCCTAGTGCTGGCACTGAAGTTATGCAACTATATAGTATGAAAAATATGCTTAAAAAATTTATTACAAATATAGAATACTTGATATTTTACATGATTGTGATTTACAATTGAAAAAAACTGAATACATTTTTAAAAAAAAATAATAAAAGCCTCAATCACTTTCTTCCCTAAAAAAACAAGTTTAACATGCTATCATCTATGAGAGCAGTATCAAAAGAATCTTTCACATTTCTGGTGTTGGAAACGCCACTATCTCTGTTAAGTGAATTGGTTATTTTGTAATTGATCCAAGAACATCTCTCAGGTTATGTCCCCTCCCTAAGATTATTCATCATTTTCAGCTTGCCTTATCTTCCTATGGGGTTATTCACTCCCAAATTTGAGGTAAATAAAGGTTTGTTTTTTAGGGGGTTCAATTTAAATTATTTCATTTAAAATTCCATTGCATCTTAACAGGTAGATTGTGGGGGGTATAAGCTACTTTTTTTACAAGAGTTTCTAAATGTAAGCTGGAAAATACAGGAATATTTTTTATAATAATTCATTGAGAGTTTTATTTACAGTTCATTTTAAAACTTGACAGGACATGTTTAACTTTTCAAAGTTATTATTCATCCCCAATAAAACAGTCCATTAAACTATACTTACAAATTCATGAAAACAAATTTCAGTATAATATTTATACCTCAATTGTAAGATGCATTCAAGATAATTCATTCGTGAACAATATTTTTATGAAAGACAAAAATTGGCAATATTTACATAAATACTGTAAAAGCAATAAAATCTCTGCACTCAAAAGATGAATCTGTGTCACTATTGTCAGGCGTGCAACATTCACCACTTTGAATTTTAAAAATTTAACACCTTTGTGTTTTATTACCTCTTTTTTTTATAATTGTAATCTATAAAGTGAAAAATAAGTTAAGATTAATTTCAAAGTAGTCCAGAGTGCAAATGATTAACATAACATTGACTAGAATACTGTAATCTTCGACCTTGGTGTATTTTCCAAATCATCGTCTAATGTAAAAAGGACCTGAAAAACATAGCGTCAAAACTAAATGAAGTAGGTGAGCAAATAATACTTTTTCAAATGATAACTGAAGTGCTTAGTAAGTAGGTATTTAATTGAAGAGCACTATTTTGTTATCAATTTATTTGCAAGTAGAATAATGATGCTTTTAATAAGTTTATTTTATAAGTTACTAATTATATAAAATTACTTAAAAGCAATATTGATTATATATGGAATAAAGGTAAAAGAAAAACATATCTATTAAATTAGTCATACACATATTTACGCTTAAACTTTTTTTTCTTGATCGTCCCCTTTCTGTTTAATTAAATATCATAAATATAAAAAATTAGCAACATTTTGATTTGCCATGAAATTTGTGGTATAGATCAAAATTCATAATGGATAGTTTCACAATTTAGCAATCACTTCAATTTCAATAAATAACAACAACAAAAAAGAAGAAAAACTGTATTTGTCACTACAATTATTTCTGATCTTTGCTCTGTTAAAAACTGATCAAGACCTAGCAAAAATTACCAATTCCTTTGAATTTGGCAAGCAACATAAGAAAAAACAAAATGCTACTTATCACTATCTCACGGTGAATTCTTTAATTACAACATGTTTCATAATATATTAATTAATATGTTTTAAGATAAGAAAGTAGTTTTTAATTAAATAACAAGGCAAAATGCTTTCTGATAATATTGGAAATCATTTATATCAACTAACAAAACATTTCCATCTTTCTAAACATTATTTGCTTGATTTATATAAATTAAATACAGATCATCTGCACATCATAAATTTAAATAAACATGAAAAAACATTGAGTTGTTAAAATTTTTATTTTATGCTATACTTTTTCATTCTATTTTTACTCTTTCTTACATAAACTGAAAATTGACAAATGTGTTTTTATGAGTAACTAAATGTTTGTAACTTAACAAAGATACAATAATTAAATGTTTACTTGTGCAATTTACTCTGTAATAACACAAGTTAATTTTTAATTATTCTTTATTTACTTTACTATTCTGAAATTTATGCAAGAAAGTTCAGTATAGCTTTAACATTTACCCTGTATCAACACTATATAAAAGATGTATATTTTAAAGTTTAAAATAAGTATGACTTTTTTTGTTATATGTATTTTAGTAAGAAATCAAGACAGACGATTATTTATTTTTTTAAGTTATTCCTACAACAAAAAATTATATTGCTTAAAGCTTTAATTATTATAAATCAAATTTATTCATTAAAAATAAAGTTACTTTATTCGAAAATTTATTGATATTTAATTGAAAATTCCAAAACTATTGATTGAAAAGGAAAGAGAAGCATGTGGGTCACTCCAAACAAGCCATTTAAAAAGCACTCATAGCAAAGGAGATTAAATTACAGTTAAGTGAAAAATCATCTTTAAATGATTGAGAATAGAATATTATGCCCCAGCTTGTTATTTCAAATGCTTGGATTTAGTTGCTTTTTACCTTAATTTGATTGTATGCTATAAATGAATATAAAAAATGATGATTTCCTTACCATGAATGAAAAGAATAATGCACAACTTGATAAGAAATGCCAAATATCATGATGATCAAAAAAGTTTAATATGATGCAGTGTTTATTTCTATCTCGTGATTTAGCTGGTGACACCTATGATAAACACATGTTTTAATAATGTATTTCTTTTGAAAGATAATTAAAAATACTTATGGTATTTAAAAAAAGGTATCAAAATTCATCACGATTATAAAAAAAACATGAACCTCTTTTTCACACAACTCTAGAACTAGACAAGAATTATTTTAAAAATAAACTATACTTTTTATTTATTTTTATTGTTTTAAAAGCATTATTTATCAAAGAATTTCCGAGAGAGTTTTTTTTAATTCTTACAATTAATTGCCGTTAGTTCTACAAGTAATTGTTTCGTAATTTATCTAACTAGAAACTTGAATAAAAAAACTGCATGAAGTTGTACAGTTAACAATACTGTGATACATCTTTTACTTGAATGCATGGTGTTCAATTATTCAGCTTGATCAAAGAAAGAACCTAATGTGACAAATGCCTGAGACTATAATTTTTGGCTGGAATGGATTTATGATAGCCTACAAATGGCAAGTGAATACCTAATGAAATTTGAAAACGTCCTTTACACTTACAACCATCAATGTACCTTTGTTTACTGCTCATTGCAACTTTTAACCAGAATAATGGCTACTATAAAACTTTTAGCTAATTCCATTACTTAATTTTTACATGATTGATCCAGGATCCATTAGTTTTACTAGGAATAAACATTTTGGGATAATAAAAATTTAAATTAAAATATTTTATTCTAATAATGGATAGAAAAATATGCCTGGAAAATCAATAGGAATAATTACAATATAACAGTAAAAATGTATTTCAGGCATCCAGAACCTTGCGATTGGTGAAAGTTTAATAAAAGATAGTGCACTATACATGGATTCGTAACAGGTAATTTTAATTAGAATAAATGTTTTCTATTAATGTATTTAAACTATATATTTATAATAAAAGTTTCTTTAACTCTATTTAATACAAAACTCGAACATATTAAACAACATGATTTTACAAGATAATGAATAATAAGCTCAAAGAATAAAGTTAATTTTAGTTTACCTGCCAAGAAGTGTTTTTAGCTAAAAAGAAATGCAAAGCAAAGCCCCAGCAGATAAAAGATAAAATCATATACATTATTGGTATCCATCGAATTCCTTCTTTACATTTTATCTGGAAAAAAATATCCATATAACATTTAGATAAACATCATCAATTTATTATTTTTTATTTTTAAAAAATTGTTTTTGAGAAACTTACTTTCATGATTGAATAGTAAATGAGGTACATAAGAAGATTAACTATGAAAACTGATAACAGAAATGCCCCAAAATTAGGGGGTTGTTTTATAAGTCCAAATAAGTCTCTGGAAATAACAAAAAACAATTTGCGTGATTAATATTCAGCATAATTAAATGTTGGAATATTTGTAAAATAAATATCGTAATTAAATAATGCAAGAGAAAAATATTACTTTTCTTAGAAATCTATAACCTAGTTTGTAAAGACTGAAATATACTTTATAAAATAATATTATCATGATCCTGAATGTGTTAATCATAATTTACTACAAATAAAAATGTTATACCTTTACTGCAATTATAGAATAATAATTTAACTAATTGTTAAATATTAAGCTAAAATAGATTTTATCAATAAGAAATAACAGTACTAAATAAAGTAAACTTCAGAACCAATAAATTTATTTACAATAAATATTAAAACTAAAGTTTTTTTTAACTCATTTTCACAAAATTGACACCAAATTTACGTATTGTGGAGCAGATGTTTAAAGTAGAATGCAAAAAAATTCTAAGTGAATACTTTATTTGCTTAGATTGCATTAAAAAAAATTTTATTCACTTAATCTAAATTCAAGTTTATAACAGAAAAAAAATATATTTAAAAAAATAAAATCTTTCGTTTTATTATTTCTGTTAAAACTTACAGAATATAAAATATAAAGCAATAAAAAATATTTTTCGAGCAACTTTGATTTATTGTAATATTAACAAAAAATACAGAAGCGATTTTTGTGTACAAAAATGATTTATGTTTTTTTCACGTAATGAAAATTCTAAATAAAAATGTTTAATGCTAAATTTTATTTTTTTGAATTAGAAATATGTGTTATAACGTATTGGAATTATTCGGTATACTCACAAAGATAAATTCAATAAAACAGTAATGCTCAGCATAACGAAACGGCCCTGGAAGAATGGAAATGTTAATATAATTATGAAATTTGAAGAACTAATCATAGGAAAGAAAATGGGGAGGAAATTTAACATGCAAATGGTGAAATCACGGGTTAGGGAAATTAGTCAAGTTGGTGAGATTAGTAAAGTAGCAAAAATTTGTATACAACTGCATATTATTCCTACTAGAGCAACATGTTATATTTCAAAATTGTTAAGACATTTCTAAAACTTCCTGGAAATAGTACTATTTTTTTTCCAAAATTTATTCTTACTTTTATTTGCAGATTGGCTTCTTTTTGAATAAAAAAAATTTAAAATTTCCTTTCTAATCAAACAATAGACATCTTTGTAAGCTATTAAACACAGATTAGTCATTTCATGAACTTTGCTTGCTGTTTTGTATTGACCTATTTATGTAACTTATTTTTATAAAAACAAATGTTTTAAAAACTGTTATAATTCAAATGATGATTCACACTCCCATATGTGGTAGGGACTCATCAATTGCACTGCACTCAACTCGTTAATTCAAGTAAGAAGTATACCAAATTAAAAAAAAATTTACAAATTAATTAAAAGAAAGACATTTGTAATTCATCAGATGTCCAATTAGACATCATAATCACACTAAAACCAGTGCCAATTTTGAGATCTTGAAAGAATTACAAAATTATATTTTAACTATACAGACAGATATAGTGGTAAGAAAATAGCCTTCTTATGAAATTGCATAGTTTTCTACTTTAAAGTTATAAGATGTTTCAAATATTTTATATCGGCATACAACTATCATTGCTCAGATTCCCACATTGGATTTTTAAACACATTTTATTGGTTGAGGTGGAGGGGAAATTTTCAGAAAAAATCACGCAAAAAACTGGTCTTCGTGAGTCATCATGAAGGTCACAACTTGAGTGACTGAAGTTTCCCCAATAGTGTTACGTTTATATTATTCATGTGACTTTATACCATGCGTCCGACGCACAGAAATTGGTGTCCACCTCATGGCCTAAGCAATTAATTTTATTCTATCATATTTTGTATATTCTTTTCCAATGGCCATTTTAAATAATTTTAAGTTTTTGATTCAAAAAAACTAATTGATTTCTTACACAATTTAGAATTTTATTTCTCTACTTTAAAAATATTTTAATACAATATTTTGTTTACAGTTTATTAAACAACAGCTCTTATAATAAAATTTGCCAAAGTTTATAAATAAGCTCACCAGACAAAAAATTTTTGAAACTAGTGCGCAAGCACAGATGAATCATAAGGTTTCCTTAGATGACGCAGTAGTCAAATGACGTGCTCAATTGCGCACCCACTGCCTTAACATGATCAAAGGCAAATAGCCATCAGTGGGGTATTTTTGTTGTAAGCGGGAATTGCATGTACAGGGGTGATTGTGAGCCCAGCTCAAAAATCTGGAACATTTCTTGAGTAAAATCATTAATGCATTTCAAAAAATTAATGCCTTATAAATTTAAATCTTTGATATTTTCAAAAAATGAAATTTAAAATAAATTATATGCAGTATAATTTAAATGAATAATTACTTATAAGTTTGCTTTTATCTCTAATCACATTCATTATACCATTAGAAAAAATACCTACAAATTAAAGAGATGCCAAGAATAAATTCTAGTTCTAATATTTTTAAACAAAATATACAAGAATTTTTATGCATAAATGTGATCGATGATTTCTTGAAACTTCTGTACCTTGGATTTCAAGAAACTTCCTAATCGTGGTTAGCAAAAATCCGGAAATCCGGATTTTTTTCCGGACCACAATCACTTCTGTGTGTAAATATGGGTAAATGCAAGGATGCGACAGAGTGGCAAAAAGGAGCAATTGTGTTTGGCTGTGCCCGTAGTCATACGGGGAATGAAGTTGCTGGATTTGATGGTGTTTCGATGCAGACTGTTCAATGTGTCAACAAGCGGTATTGTAATACACGTTGTCACGAAAGACGACATCAGAATTGTAGCTGGAAAAAGATCCTGCATGAAAGGGACCGAAGACGTGTTTCACGACTTGTCAAACAAAATCACTTCCAAACCCGACAGAAATTGCTTCAGTTAGTGAATGAAGGTCCATCCCAACCTGTTGGGGGGAAACGTTGAGACGGGATCTAAATGCAAAGAGCATTTGGAGTCGAACACCTCGTAAGAGGCCATTGCTCACACAATCGCATAAAGCTTTGCGACTTCAGTGGGCTAGAAGTCATCGAACATGGACAGTTGCTGATTGGCGGAATGTAATATGGTCTGATGAATCACACTTTTGCCTTTATTCAAATGACGCATGTCGTCGAGTGCACGAAGAACAAATGAGGCATTTCATCCTGACTGTGTGCAAGGTTAGGTTCAAGACAGAGGTGGGTCTGTCATGTTTTGGGGGTGTTTTACTTTTTATGGATTGAGCCCCCTCACTTAAGTGGCCATTAAAATGAACCAACATGTTTATTGGAACACTCTGAATGATCAGGTGTTGCCTTTTACTGAACATCTTCATGAAGAGTATGCTGATGATACCCCAATTTTTCAAGATGACAACAGCAAATATCATCGGGCTGGAAGAATATGTGACTGGTTTTATGAACACTCAGACGCTAAATTACATCTCGACTGGCCTGCAAAATAACCTGATTTGAACCCCAAATTTGTGGGACATGTTGGAACAACGGGTAAGACATCGAAATCAGCATCCTTACAATTTGGTGGAATTGTGCGATCAAATCCTCAGAGAGTGGTTTAATCTGGATTCGACATGCCCGCAAAAACCTTGTGGTCTCACTTCCTAATTGAATCTAGGCGATTATCAAATCCAGAGGTAATGTTACACGTTATTAAATGATGTTTTTCATGATTTCTCCAAGGGTGACTAATTTTTTATCCAGTGTGCTTATATAGTACTTCTTGGGTTGAGTCACTTATTCTATTTCAGACCTTGCTATATTGATGCACCTTTCTTTGTAAAATAAAGAAACATTTTTCAAAACCTTTGCCTTGTCTTTCTTATTGTATTGCAGGTTTAATATAGAGCTTTTTTAAATTGACTTTGCTGACTTCTGAATTATTGTGCCACAATGGTAGTGGAATTATGTCTTCTTTTATACTGTAATTATGGAAGTTGATGAAGAATCATTTCATAGAACACAAAAAAATTATACTCTTTCTAGGTTCCATCATTTTGAAAGATTACAGGTGTGGCCATACTTTTAAACTCCAAAAATAATTCCTATCCCTATTAGTTTAAAAAACAAACATTACATTTCAAAATTGAAAATATTTTCCAACTGTCAAATTGAGTGGCCATGGGATGCCCTAAGTCCTAATGCCACAAATTTTAAATCTCCTATGTATCTGTACTTAAGAGCATGGAAAGAGATAATTATTGGTGAATTGTTGAACAATAATACTGCCAAAATTAAAGCTAACATTAAATTTAAATAAACTGGCTTATAAATTAATCCCCAAATCAGTCATTTCATAAGTTAAATGCTTTGCATAAAATATAGTAAAGTTTCTAAAAAATTAAAAAAATTACCGGATATGTAGGTTTAATAGAACGTGCAGCAACATCCTGTTTAATATGATGATATATTCTCTTGCAGAGCCAACGATCTGAAATAAGAGTATTTATTTTCAAATAAGAGCACTAAAAATAATAAACATTTTTAGTAAACAAATATTACAATGCCAAACTGTAAAATGTGCATACCAAGCTTCATGCGTCCCATGTAATAAATTTTTGAGCTAACAACAAAAGTAACAGATAGATGACCTAGGGTAAAAACTAACCAAACCCAAATTCCTCCTTTAACCTGAAATTAAACAATATTGCTGCTTTAGTTAAATGATAAAAATACAAAACTTTGTCTTTTAAAAAAAACAGTAAAAAAAACAGTAAATATTGCACATAAAAATCTAAATTGAAATTTTCAACATAAATTCAAAAATATGATAATTTTAAAAAGAAAAAGCACTGTTTTTATAACAAATAATTATTATTAATGTGATCAAAAACATTTTAAGATTCAGAACATAAATACTAAACTTACAACACCACCAAAAGCAATAATAATGACAACAGCTAAAACCATCCAGATAGTATGAGATTTTGCAGTGATGTCTGGATGCCTAGACTGATATAGCTTTAACATGCAGACAGTAGCAATGACATACATAAAAGCAGTATCTAAAAGAGAAAGTATATGCTTAAATCTTGAACCAAACAGTTGAAAAGTTTTCCACAATGAAATAAAAAATGTCTTGTTTTAATTACAAAATTTACAAACTATATCATCACAATCATTTTAAAGGCATTAATAAGCTTAACTCTCTAAGAGACACTGTGGTGAAAAGATTTTAAACTCTAATTTTCCTTTGATCTTTAATAATTTTTTTCAATTACGTTTTTTTCTTTCTCCTACACACAGGCAAGTCAGGGAAAGTTCCCTGTGTGTAAAAAAATTGCTCTTGAGTGCTCCTCATTGTGCCCCTCACCTGAGTCCATGGGTGAAAGAGAGACGGAAAAGAGGAAAAGCTGGTAGTAAACCCATTTCATTTTTAACATGTTTTCGGGAGGAGTTAAACTATTCTCTTTTTCAATTATTCAGCTATATCTACTTTTCTATAAAGAAAGAAGCTGTTTTTCATATATGCTAAAATTGTAAAAAAATTACGGTAATTACAGAAATTTAATGTTTCTTGAAAAAAATGCTATAATGAAATGCTTTTCGTACCAGTTTTTGCTCTTTTCCGTGTCGCTATATATAAGCTTTTAGCCCTGACTGAGTCATGTGATAGTTTTATATAGCATTGCCAATATTTTGCTTCATTCACTAGATATTGGATATGGAATCAGCCATGGGGAATTCAACTTAAGTCGGTCAACCTGTTCATTGACCAGAATGTTGCAGTGGCTGCAATCCTACTGTAGAATGATGGTCCAACAAATTTTTATAAGTTTATCAAAATGCATTAAAGTTACATTCTCCCTGGTAGTATCATCTTCCTGATTTTATTCATCAAGTTGAAAGAAAAATTGTATGAAACAGAATTTTAATATTAAAAAATTAAATCTGCGAAAATTTTGAAAATGATGCATTAGTTATGCAGTCAGTAGCTTATCAATAGAATTAGAAACAATTTATAAAAATACTCATATCAACAGTTCAGATCAGTCTTTTACAATTAAAAAAAACAAAGAAAAGTTTAAAAAGAAAAAACAAAAAATTCTAAAATATTTTATTTATGAAAAATGTAGAAAATTTAAAAAAATGAGATAATTATTTAAAAAGCTTTAGTTTATGTCAATGCATACTGTGTTAAAAAAATTATTGAACAATTATTTATTTAATATTTTTCCATTTTGATCACTTTAAAATAAATCTAGAACCCTTAGTATAAACAAGTGCAGGATTTGTTTAAAGTATAGTAATAACACAGTGATCCTACTTGTATGCTTACTTTAAAAAAGCACTCTATTCTTTGTTAAGGATTAAAACGAAATTGTTAATGCAATTCTTTGAGCAACTTTTACTTGAAATGGAATTTTGCTGCATAAAAAGAACAATGAAAGAACATGAAGAAAGGACATTCTTTTGATACAAAACTAAATTTTAATCATATAACTGTAGTACAAACTATTAACTAGCGAATAAAAAATAATTAAAAACAAATGAATCAAGAATAATATCTCAAACTGTAAAGTTATTGAAGTATATATTTTATTAATCAAACTATGATTATCCATTTAAGCTATTATAACATAATATTTAAGCTATAAGGAGCAATCAGAATATAATAAAAATCTAATGGAAAAGCTGCTACATACCAAATTGAAAGTTTGCTCGATTAGGGCAAACATGATAACTCGCGCTTAAGACTCCTTCCATAATTAGAGCCCAGCCCATTGCATACATTAAACCAAAATGACGAGGTATACCAGTCATCTAAAAAAAATTAATAGATATGGCCTAGCTGAATAATATAAAAAAGAGCATTTCAAATGTAGGCAGTTTCAATAATTAAAAATTTATAAACAGCAAATTACACTTCTTTTATGTACTACAATCAATGTTTTTTTAGTACAACAAGTCATAATGACTATGGATGCATGAAGCCACGTCTACTATTCAATAGATTCTATGATATTTTAATCCAAATTATACCATTTGTATAGCAACTGAAATTCTGTGTTTTTTTTTAAAATTTAAAGAAAATCTCAACAAAAACAGTTACTAAAAATTTTTACCTTGAAAAAAAATTACATTTAACAATGATTTAATGAAGAGCAAAAGATTCGAGTTAATGAGTCAAACCACTATTTCCTTTGCTACAATTGCTCAATAAAAGTAAAACATCTTGAATTCTCTATGAATAAAGAAAGAGTTGCAGAACCAACTATTCTTATACTAGTTGGAGCTGGGCATAATATGTGGTCAGAAAGATGGCAAAATATTGGTTACTTTTTGAGAATTAGATGTCTATATTGTCTTCTTGTGTGAAATTCAAGTCTTCCAGTATGCATTCATACCCTTGGTAATTTTCTTACAACGAATAAACAAATTCCTCAATCATATTTTCCTTGCTGAAAAAATAAATTCACTTTATTTTGAAACTTTGTAGGAGGTTGTTTTGGAGTTAAAACATGTGAAATTCACATTCTTCTAGTTTTATTTTTGCTTAGACTTTGCACTTCTCTGGAGATATGCTATCTAGCAAAAATGGCTGCTTATAACCAGTGTACAAAAAAAAGATTAAAGTTTTTGAAGGGAGTACATATAAGAATTATGTTTCTGTTAAAATAATTCTAGTATTTATAAGTATTTCAATAAATATTTGTTATAGTTTTGTGTACTCATGATATAGTGACCTTGTGTTCCATTTTGTTTCAACCATCAAACAAACATCCATTTTAGTTTTAACCGCAGAGGTCGTTATATTGAGCCTCAACTGTATAAACACATGAAACTTGCAGACTTAATACAATATATGATCAAACATTCACATACATAGATAAATGTACTACAGTATATTCCTGCCATCTATATTTCCTGATAAATTATCAAATCTATTAGAAAAGGCAAAAACATTCATTTTTCACTTTTAAAATAAGTCTGGAGTGAAAATGGAATTATTAATAGTTTCCATCATACATTACAAAATACAAGGAAACTTTAACTTTTATTCTGAGTGCTTCAAACAATTTCAGGAACTACAAAAATCAAAGCTACTTATACCTAAAGAAATTGATAACATTTAAGAAATTTTCAAATACTATAAAAATAGTAAAAGGTTTTTTATGTGACGAAACTATACGTTTTGAAAAATACACAACTCAAAAAATAATAGAGGAAATTTAGTGTTCAGTGAATGTGAATATTTTTAAAGAATGTCTTTTAAACTAACTTGTATCAGTGAATTTTTTAATAATGAATTAAAGTTATCAAGTACGGAGAGAATCCTTGCCATTATTCAGTGGCCTGCCCAACATTTTTTAGCAAATTCTGCTCTGAGGTTTCACACTAAAACATACCCAAAGAAAGCATGTCATTAATTAGTAGACTGAAGAAATTATCAAGCAATCTTTTATTGTGCTGTAGTTTTTTGCAACTTCTCTTTTAACTTATCTTTTATTGACATAACATCAAAGTATCCTTTGATATTATCTTGCATCTGAAACTTGTCTGATAAATTTTTGATCATCATTTGATGAAAAGTTGTAAGAATGTTAAAATATTACATTCTGAAAAGAGGAAGATGAGATAATAAAATATTAATGTTTAGTCGACAAGAAATTTACCGAGTTGATGTTCTAATAATGTTATTCTTCTTAACATTTATCTGGATGCAAAATCGTAAGTACAGAAAATTAAAGGATACTAGCAGCAAAATAACTTGGGCCCTCATTGGACCAATAATCACAAATCTTGGTCTAAGAACCATTAATTTCCTATATTGGCCCTATATAGAATTCTCTAATTCACCCGATATTTTACAACCAATATCCTGCAATCAGTCCTGCATAGAGTTGTCAAATTCACCCGAAATTTAATAGTAATTATTCAGCCAATATAGGCTCTATACTATCCTTATAAGGGCTGATATTGGCTTTATATAGGACCGATATTGGCTTTAATAATGAAAATTCTAGACATCCCAGTATTTGCCCCTTGGTGCATGTTTACATAGGACCCATATTGAGTCAATTTTGAACTCAACTAGGGTTAAGGTAAAATTGCTGCCAGGATAAGAAAGTAAAAAATTTACATGAATTAATGACCAGAAAATGTTTATGAATAATTAGCATTGAATCAATGTTAAAATATAATATGTATACTTGAAATAAACAGATTATGCAGTATCTGGTAAATATCTTTCTAAAACTTTATATTTTTATTATTAAGAATTTTTTGATTTCAACAGAAGTATGTTCCATACATAATTTGTAGCTAGTTTTTATATGTTCCTTTCAGTTAAAAATATTACTTCAATAAAAAAAAAAGAAGAAATTTGAATTTTTAAATAAGTAGATGAGAAGTTTTTTTAGAACTCATCAATAAAAATTTGAAAACAAGCAATTCAACTTGCCTTACTTTTACAAAAAAAAATTAGAATTAATTTATCGAACAGTTTAACATAAGAGATCAAGTGATTTCTGAAACCTTAATTATGTATCAGTATGAGAACTAGCAAGATCATAAAAACAAAACAACTTTAAATCTGCACTTTTAAGGCCAATCACAAGAGCAGCTAATAAATCATCAGGCAAACTATAAATAAGGTATAATTTAAATTAAAATAAAATAAACTACTTTCGGTATGACTTAAATCGTTGCTCTTTTTATCTACAGTAGACACAAAATTAGTTACATATTATCAAGAATACTGTAACAAGTATTATTATGAATTTATAAAGCTTTATACAAAGTTTCATAGACATTAAAATAAGTAATTTTAAATTTATATTAAGTGTTGGTTTTTTAATGAATTATAGAAATTAAATGTTTCAAATATAAAAAAAGAGGCAACAATTAATATTACTGAGTTCTAGACATTTTCATAGAAACTCCAACAAACCATTAAACAAAATTCTTTTTTAATAGCTGTCTTTTAAAATGACATAATTTTAAAAAGAATACAAACAAATAAAAAAAAACAGATAATTTAATGTTTTTACCTCATTTTGTGGAATATTCCTATTTTCTTTAGTTAACGGTTGATCAAACACTTCCCTAAAATCAAACAATAATGTAAATAGAAATGCTCATTTGATTCTATAATACTGCCGCATAAACAGTGTAGTTATAATATTGATAAAAACTTTATGCAACTGTCTACTAGTCCAATACAATGTAAATTGATCCATTTGTGACTTTAAAATAAACAAACAAATCAAAAGTGATATTTTCTAGATTATAGCATAGCATTTGTTTAACTAGCATTTGTTTAACTAGCATTTGTTTAACATAGCATTTGTTTAATGGTTGTTAACTACTTCACTTTAAGTTTCACACTGAAACTGGTTTAAGAAAGCACTTTGCAATTTAAATTAAATACATTTCAAAGATTTACATTTTTCTCTTCATTTTTCACAATTAAAACATTTATGTAATTTCTTAAAACTATTTATATAACAACCATTTATGAAGAAAAAACGCGTATGCTAAATCAGAACATTTTTAAAGAAATGTCACTTAAATTATAGTAAAAGTACATACCTTCTCCATACCAGCAAAAGAAAAAGTAATCCAAGCATTACATAACCAATATTACTGTAGACATGATTGAAATCACTAAAAACTCCAACTTGATGAGAACACAAAAAATTATAATAACAGACATCTTGATTTCCAGTAAGGTTGACAATCTACAAATATTTATTGCAAATAAAATTATTCTTGACTGTATACAAAACATATATTTGAATAATAACATCAATTATTATTGCTATTCATTCATGATATAAATGGCATGATAGGAAATTCATAATTAGGAAAAACTCAAATGTGAGGTAAAATTTTATTCAAATTTTTTTTAGCTTCATTATCTTATTTGGTTGTGGCATGTTAGCTTTGTATTACTTTATCTTAAATTTTGAGGGGGAAGTTGCTGCCATAACTTATTCTGTTCACTAAGAGAACAAAAATAAATATGTTTGTGTTGTTAAATTAGTGTCATTATTTTCCTCCAATGAGGAATTATTCACGCGACTTGATATTGACTGTTCTGAAACGGCAATTTATTTATTTTTTACACTAAACAAAATGAGCGCAAATGATTATAAAAAAACGAGTATAAAAATCGAATATAGACATAAATTAGGGAAAATTAAAAACTCCTATTAGCGGTGAATTTCTCTCTAATTACAATTTTTTGTAATATCAATTTTCAAACTACGGCATATTAAGTTACATTAATTATATTGACATAGACCTTATGAGTTCGAAATATCTCGCTCATTTTATTTTTATGCTATGTTTCTTAATTGCATTGTAACGTATTTTAATTCAAAATTAATTATTTGTCAAAACATTTCCTGGAAAACTACCACAGAAAACAAGAGAGTAAATGGATATCTTATCCAAGAAAAATTATGAGGAAAAAACAACTAATAGAAAGGAATCTGTGTTAATCTGATTTGCCATTTACTAATTATTCACAAATTAATTATTACAGCGAATCACTAATTCTCATTGTTTAGCTCATTTGCACATTCACCAGAGTTTCTTTGCTGTCTTTATTTAAGTTCATTCATTATAACTGTTGTCACGGTAACGTGGCAGCTAGGGAAAAAAAATTTAAAAAAGAGAAAAAAGAATTTAAAAAATTAGCAATTGTAAATATATATGTAATTGATAAATATTGTAATTGTAAAAATATATCAATTGTATGTATATAATAATTGTAAATATATATAAATTGTGTATATACATTGAGAGAGAGAGAGCATCTAACCAGCACAATTTTAATTATAAAGTGGTAGTGAAATAAAATATATATGTATATATATAAATGTTTAATTTTCCCAACATTTAAAAACATTACTGTGGAATTTATGTATCTTATATTATCACATTGCATACAGGCAACTTTCCCAAAAAATGCATCACAACTGTTAGAGATTAAAGTTTTAAAAAAGTGGTAGGCAAAATTTCATAAAAGCTGGAACAAACAATAACTGCAACTTCAATTTTATAAAAGGGGTGGAAAGTGTTGTAAGAGCACTAAGATGTCATTGAGTAAGACTAAGATTCTTCCCTCAGTGGTGGCTTGAAGTTTACCCAGCTTCAGATTAATGGTTACCATTATGCCAAAGAATTAAACAAAGCTGGTTTGCAATGATGACCTCATTACCACTGCCACGCAGTTAGTCTCAAATATGAGAAGTCTTAACCTTTTAGACAGACTATGGTAGAAATGCTTTGCTTTACTTTTACTATCCTAATATTTAATATATTACACTTCTTTTATACTTATTTAAGAATACATGCCAGTAATAATAAAAAAGTAGCTAAAAATAGGAAACGATGATATATAGAAACACACTGTTCACTGTTTATTCTTTATTTTGCATCATTGCTAAATTCTTTTTACTGACTTCACATCACAGCTTAATTTTTAAATATGTCATAAGTTCCTTGAACTCAGAGATCTGCCTAATTTATAAGCAAAGCATTGTTGCACAACATTGACACTATTATGGCAAAAAAGAATTTGTCATAGCATTTGTAAGTAAAATAAATCATTATGGGAATAGAATCCAATTCTCTTTGTCGGGGATGTCATCTAGAAGAAGAGACATCACGACACATACTCTGTGATTGTGAGGTCTATTCTGCTCAAAGATTTGAGCATTTAGGGCAGCATATCGTCAATGCCAGGGAACTGCAAGATGTTCCTGTAAGGTGCTTGCTGAATTTTATTTCAGCCATAGGGCTTTCATGCTAATCATGATTTTAGGGTTTGGGTACAATAGACCTTTCGTCGATGTGCCCTGCTCGTCAGAGCTGCCTAACCTCTAAGTCTAAGTAAAATAAAAACTTTACATTTACAAGAACATGCTAATAGCAAAAAAACATATAACAGTTTCAATACATTGCAATAATAAATAAGCATCATTAACTTGCAAAAATAAGTAAGCACCCCAACACACTGAATGAAAAAAAATTATAAAAAATCAGTTGAGTTACTCAAAAAGCTTATTAAGGGAAAAACTGACCACTGAAGTTAAAGAAAGGAGAAGAAAGACAAAAAAAATTTTAAAAAATGGAGAAAAGGATAAAGTAAAAAAAAAATAATAAATAACACTATAAGCTATTTCAATCAATTTTTTGGTAAGAGTCTTAAATATTTTTGCAGTGATTCCCAACTCTGATTCCTCACATCGAAAATTTTCTTAAATTAAACAACATTTAAACACAAACCTAAATTAAACAAAAACCTTAAAATATATAAAAGGACTTTCCATATAAATGAAAAGTAAAAAAATTCCTTAATAAACTTAACTTAATCATATTTCACTCCAACAGTTTTAATATAAAATTTTCATGCATACAAAGCAATAACTTCTTTAAAACAAAGCAAGATATTTTTAAAAAAAAGCCAAAAATGATTGAATAATTTATTGGAGTATATAATTTTTATTGAAATTATATAATCAAATAAAATGAAAAACAAAATTAAATTACTCCTGCACTAACACATAAACATATAAAATGAAGTGAGTCTTAGACATAAAATAAATTTTTACTCACTCTTTGATTTATATAAACAAGCTGAATCACAGGTAACCCATAAAATATAGCAACAGTTAGTAAATTCCTAAAAGAATAAAAGATATATATTGACAAATGAAATTAATAAGTGTATAATAAAAATATATATAAACAAAACTATCAGGTAAATTTAAATAAATACATATATATTTGAAAATAAACGTTCTAAACTGAAGAATAAATAAGCTGAATTTAATAATTAATTATTAGAAATGATAACTGCTTTTTTTTTATCTGATCTTTCATCTTGATGTATCTTTTAACCTTAAATAACTACAATTAGCCTAAAAAAAACTCCTAATTTTTGCAAGTTTCGCTAAGTCAGGATGTCAAGATAGCGCTTTAACATCTTCAAATATTGTAGCACAGAATTTCACCAATTATCTACATTTTATCAAGTTAAGATTATTTTTCTTAAGATACATCAATTTGTTTGACTTGTATAAAGGAAAAATTAAGCTGACTTTTAATTAGTAGTCTATGAGTGAAAAAAAATTAGATACTGGCTGATACTGACTTACGTTTAGTTATCAAATTTAAAAATAAAGAGTAGAAACTGATAGTGTTAGTTATTAGGCTCAGTATAATAATGAAACTTATACAAAAACAATCAACAAAAAATGTTATTAAGTTCTTCAAAATAAATGTTGCATTCTAGGTCAATAACTTTGAGTCCACTGTAAGCCAAAGTTTTGAGAAAAATTTCATTTCTAGTATATTTCTGGTATAAAGGTATAAATAAAACATTTAAAAAAGTACTAGATCAATGGTTTAGAAGATGTTAATAATAAGCAATGATTTTGCACGTTAAACAAATATAATATTAACAAATTTAATTACTTAACAATTCTTGACAGATTATATTGCTGACACTAAATCTCATTTTAACTTAATTCTCAGTATGAATTTAATTGCTTTGCATAGCCAAAACTTTTTCTAAGCTTCTACGTTTTACTCCTTTTCATTAGAAATATATTTTTTGTACTGGATCCAGTCTATATTGATCATAGACTGGATCAATAGGATATTGAGGAAATGTCAGGTGAGTATTTCCAAAAAGCCACATTATTTAATAGTATTTACATATAAAACACTATGCATTGCTTTAATTTTTTACAACACATTTTCAATATTACAAGTAACATTATTAACTTTTAAAACTTACACGATTTAAAACTATAAATGGAAAAATATTTATTCTTAAAGAAAAACACTAGCTCCATGTCAAACAGCAAGGTCGAAATAAAATTGCTCAAACAAATCTAAACTTCATATGAAGAAATATATGATTGAAAAAAAATCAAAATTCATTCATTTAATGTGGATAAGAGATAAGGAATTCATTCAAAACTAAACAATATAATTTTTATTTAATGTTTATCACTAAAAATAAAAAACGGAAAAATTCCCTGAAAAAGTCATAAACCATATTTTTTGCTCTCTTATGCAGTGTAAGTTAAAAGATTTGATAAGATGATAATTAAAGCAAAAGAAAGCTCTAACAAAAATGATCTTAACCAGTAGCAATAAACAAAATAATCATTTAAACACTGAGCTATATTATTAAAGTTAAAGAAATTTATAACAATCATAAAATAGTTAAGGAATGGAGAAAAAATGCATAATTATATATTTCACCAATGAATACACAAAACCATTATTTCAAAAATAATAAAAGTGAAATCATAGAAAGATACATTTTGCTAATAATAACTTTATTTCACATAATTTTAAACAGAAACAATAACATTAAGACCAAGAACATACTTACCAAGAATATACTTTTGATCTGTCACTTAAATATTTATCCTTCTTTTTAGCCAAATCAGAAACAAAAATAATAGTCTGCAAAAAAAGTTGTTATTCACTCATTCATTTCAAATATTCAGTACAAAATTTTGGTAATAAATTATAAAGAGTTGAATTTGTGATAAGTAAAATTGTCTGAAAATAATTGTGGCTCGATGTTTCGTCTTGATCCCTTTAGTTTTTACTAATTACTCTTGATTACCTAATGTTTATTTCATTTTCACTTATTTAAAGATAGTTCAATCTTTCATACATAAAGGAATAAGAAAAGAATAACTTACAACCAAAAAAAAAATACAAAAAATTCTTGCACCTATTTTAACAATTCCTGCATAATGGAATCCACAAGTAAGTACAAGAAGTTGAGTCAGTGTGTGAGAAAGAGTTTACACAATATGAAAAATTTGTAGTTTTTACACAATATGAAAAATGTGTGATGTTGTCTTTTGTCTATTTTGTCCACAATAACTGTTGTTCACATTGTCATATTTTAGCAATAAAAAATATCACGTAGAAGAGCATTCCAGTTTGATAAATTCTGTGGTATATCCACTAAATTTAGGAAAAGCCTTGTGTTTATAATTTGCTAATATAAAACATATGCAAGGAGAATTTATCATTAAAAATATCTAAGCAAAAATTAAAAACTCTTAAATTGGAAAGTAAAGTAAATCAAAATAAACCAACTATAAAGAAGAAGGTAACAGTGTGTAATTATGGAATAGTGCCTATTACTTCTTTAACGATATAAGAAGAAAAACGTTCATCCTAAAACAGCATAAACATATGAGCCTAATATTAGAAAATAAAGATATGTAGCTTCCTTGATTTGCAGTTGATATTATTTTATTTCTGAAATTTTTTTTCTTGATTATTATTTAGTTAAAGAATTACAAAATCTGTATTTTAATCAGTCATCTGTGTGTTATTTAAAATATCGAGAAAAAAAAACATAATTTAAAAGTCAAAAACCAAAGCTACAATTAAGTCAAACTTATTATAGGTCAAAGTTTTTAGCTAGTTTTATTAAAATATAAATTATTAGCATTAATTTGAATATTTTATTAAAATTTAATTAAAAATAAATTATTTAAATGAAAATAGAAATTTGTATCAACAAAATTTTAAAGAAGTGAGTTATTTTTCAAGAAGAAAAGAAAATTTTAAGTTTTTCTCTTCTTTAACAGTGCTAATAAAAAAGTGCTTAAGACATACAATTTTAAAAGTTTTAGGTACTAAGGAATTTAGAATATGAATTCTGAAAGAGTGTGCAATTGCAATTTTATACTGTTAAATTTGATAAAGAAAATTAAGCTTCAAACACTTGATACTTAAATTATAAGTAAAATAATCTTTTCCCATTTTCAACATTTTAGGTGGAAAACACTTTTACACTATACTAGATAATAAGGATACATTATAAAGCTCAACAATAACAGTTTATATATTACTTTCCCATTTTAATAAGACTTAAAAAAGGTATAATAAAACGCATAAAATACAAGAAAAAATAAATTAACAGAAACTCTTATAGATTGATAATAATTGTTAAGGTTTCAATCTTAAAGATAGGCAGAGTAGAAATATTAAGATGTGTTCAAAAATTATTAAAAATTGCATCATAATTACTGATAAAATTTTTAAGTACATTTGCTATAAAAGATCATCTTAAAACAAGTTGTATTGAAAAAATATATATAATTCCAATATTATATGACCTTAACATTACATTAAATCTTTCAATACAAATAGTTGAAAATAAGACTTATGAGAAAAATTCATTTGAAGTTTTTTGACTTTCTTACCATTTTAAAATTTCAATTCAAATACATTATTGTTTATTACTTACTAGCTTAAACATTTTTGAATAATTAACTTTCGGTTCTAGTAACTAATGCAGTAGAGATGAGTTCAGACTTACTCTTAGAATCCTGAGTTTTAAAAAAATTTCTCTAAATTTTGGAGAATGTATACTGGGTTGTTCTGAAAAGAATTTTTTTCCTTGTGAAAATGGAAGATTATTTTCTTATAGTGAATAAATATTTTATTAATTATATATTGCACATTCTGGTTCAAAACCATCTTTCTGTGCGTAACATGATTTCTCGGTTAACATGATAACTCGGTCAGAAACTATAAACATGATTTGATTTGATTTTACCATCTTTTTGTCTGATGAACCTCTGATGAATACAGATAATACATGTAGACTTTACTGTTATGAACGAATATATGAATGAAGGATAATGATGAGAGGAGGAAAACCAATAAAAGGGTTTATTCCTAATTTACATTTGTAAGTTAAGATCTACAAATATTACAGTCCCGCAGTGGACTGATCGTTAAGACACGGTTCCCTGCAGATCACCGAAGTCAAGCATGACTGGCTGCGGTCAGTGTGCGGGTGGGTGACCCACTTGGATCAGTCTGCGTAGGGACCGAGGGTGTGCGGTATTGGTCCTCGTTAAACTGTGCTACCGTAGAGTGCTTGACTTCGCGTGCAGGTCGTTGGGCTACCGAAGCGGGGAAGCCCTCCCCTCTGCTTCGGATCACCCTCAGGGATGTTTCCCAGACCGTCGCCAATAGCCCATTGTGCAGCTCTAGTGCGACGTAAATGAACTACAACAACAACAAATATTACATATTTGTTTTTTATATATTGTTGCTTTTTTAATATATTGACTTTTCTTCCTATTATGGTTTTTGTTACTTAATTTTTCAAATTACTACTATTAAAGTGTTTATTTCATACATGGCAGCAATAAAATATACTTTGCATCATATCTTTTTTTTACCAAATATATAACAATTATTTCATACAGTATAAGCTATAAACACATTTAAATATTTTTTCTACTAAGCAAATTTGTGTTATCTGTAAGATTAATATGTCTATTTGCAAGTCATTTTAATTTTTACTTTGATATATTTTTATTTTAAGCTTGTTTTCTGCTTTTTTTCTTTAATCTCAAACTCATTTTCAATTGCATTTTTATTTTTTAGGGATATAGACACATTATAAAGAGTAATTTTTATCTTAAGATAATTATTCTTTATTTCGAAATATCACTACGTAAAGAAATGTGTCCTGAAGAGAATCTTTACGTTTCCTCATAAATTTTTTTGCTGAATTCTATTTTAATTCTTTATAGGAATGTGTTTGTGGAAATAGTATGTTGATCCAATAGAGAGCACTGTTGCTTACTAATGTACGACTAAGCATGCGCTGCAGTGAAACTCAAATCAATTCTGTGATCTCTTTTTTGAGAAGCTATTGTAAACTATAATTGATTGTAATTTGATTGTAATCTGTTTGACTGTTATCTATTGTAAACTATACATAAATCATTGTTTACTTTCGTCTAACTAGTATTTTTACTTACTTATGATTAATGCTGCTTTAAGTGCTAATGCTTTTACTTAGCCTTTTTTTTCAAATACATTCTTATACAAAATCAAACAGTTTAAAATCAAATTACATTCAACTACAGTTCATAATAGCTACTCAAAAGAGCGATGACCAACAAGGATACAAGATTCAACAGTGATGCATGAATTGTTGCACATTAGAAAGCAACAGTGCTCTCTACCGGCTAAACATAGTGTTTCTATACGTAAATTCCTAAATGAAATAAGCTTATTTGGGGCCCGTCTATCTCCCTTTATATTTTGACATCTTTTTTAATCACCCTGTGGCAGTATGTTTGTGTATATATATATATATATCTATATCTATATACTTTTTATAATTTTTCCACGCTTTAGCCGCGTGAACATTTTTGTCGGTGATTGTCTTGTCTCAGACAATCTTAAAATAAGTTAGAATCAGAAGGAATTGTTTAAATTGTCTTTGACAATTTTAAAAAATGTTGAAATTATAGGTAGGAAGTTTAATGACTATTAAAATTATTAATTAACAAAGGAAAGCAAGCTAAATATTAACTTTCAAACGGAGTTAAAAACTAATCATTAAAGTAAGCTATGCAATAAATAGTTATAAAAACAAATTAACAAAGGATAACTAACAAAAAATAAGCTAACAATTAATAATTAGCAAAAATACTAGTTTTCAGGAAATCACAAAAAATAAGAATTAATGTAAAAAAACGAACAAATATGAACTGTAGAAAACATACTAACACAGGGTTCCCACGGTCCTTGAGAGTCCTTGAAAGTCCTTGAATTTTTTTTTGCTAAATTTAGGTCCTTGAAAGTGCTTGAAAAACGTCTTAGGTCCTTGAATTTGTCCAATACTGCCGGCGGCCCTTTTCATAAAACACCCGCGGATCTCTCGTTCTTTCTGTTTTGTTCACGAGCTCTCTCACGTGGTTTTTAACGCTACCGTTTCTAACCGGGCCTAGCGTCTTGGTGTCTGCCAAGCGCGCGAAGCACAGCAGACAATCAATGCGTTCTGGGCGAGACTCCACTTCATCTCCTGTTGCATATGCTTAGATCTTTTTTCTTATCAAAACTGGAATACTCTCGAATTTCGTAACAATATGTACCTTGTAGTTTTCAATAAATTTGCCGTTTTACCATCCGCACTTGTCCTTACGTTTGCGTCATTTCAAAACTTTATTGTAAAGCGTATTCGCAAAGGCACG